ACAATCCCCCCTCTCTCAACTCTCACCATCCCCCCCGCCCAAGTGCTGCCGTAACCTTCACTTTCCGCCCCACTGTTCTCGCCAGTCATCTGTTTGCACCACTCAAGGACGCACCAATCAGCACCAATCAGCACGTGTGTTGCCTTCACGAGGTCAGATCTTGTACTTGTCCCCATATTTCCCTCACCTCGTATAGTAACTACATGAGTACATTGTGATTATTCCCATTTTGTCATATTTACACAAGTTTGCGACGACTTTGCACACGCTCAAGTCACGGCCTTATAGATTGGGCAAGATGTTCTTTTCCCTCTAGATCTATGTCACTTTTGATGTTGTTGTTGTTATTATTGTTATTGTTTTTCACGGTTAGTCAAGAGTTAATTTGTTTTTATTTCTCATTGTTACATTTTTAAATGATCAGAATTGTGTGTGTGTGTTTGTGTGTGTGTGTGTGTGTGTGTGTGTGTGTGTGTGTGTGTGTGTGTGTGCACGTGTGTAAAGGGAGGGGGATCATAGAAACCTTACTAGATCTAGATACAGAATAAGTTATACTACTTATTTAAAGTTTGATCGAATCATAATATCTACTTCTCTCTCTCTCTCTCACTCTCTCTCTCACACACACACACACACATACATACATACATTTTCATCACTGGTACGCAAATACATAGGCTACTAGGTCTAACATGACTAGATCTAGATCTAGGCCTAATACTTATTGAGATGATATTTCAGGGGAAGGATTAGAAAATGTCTAACCAACATAAAAGAGGAGGATGAGAAAGACGAAACGACTAGATCTAGATCTATTGCAGAACTCGGTCCGAAAAGAAATGACCTCGCAGATTCAATTTAATCAAAGTGACACGTAGATCTGCATTGTAATCATTATCGTAACCTCAGCAAGTCGTGTCTTTAATAACAAACCGAATCCAAAATTAGATCAGAGAAGTCCGAAAAAATCACCTCAGTCATGGTAACAAAGTACATGTATTGCACTTGACCAAGTTTCGAGTAAGATCGAGATAAAATAGCAATGTATTGCGTCAACACGTGCTCAACAACCCCCTGCGAGCTAGCCTACAGAACGAACAGAGGTTTGCGTCACACATTCCTTACACGACAGGGGTGTAACATTCACGTGGGGTCACGCGAACCTTCCTTATCAGAGGAGTTCATGTTTTGGGTCCCCGAATCTCACTGATGTATGTGAAAACGTACATTTGGGGCGAAATCCTTGAGTAACATTAATGATCCCTGACTATCCTTTTCAAAACATAGACAAAAAAAAAAAAGGGGGGGGGGGGGGGGGGAAGGAAGCGGTATTTTATTATTATGATATCTCCCTTCCATGAAGAAACATGGATCTGAGACAAACGTTGTTTCACAGACAGGCCTACATTACATCTCGTAAAATGCAGTGGCAAGCGCACAGTCATTGCGCTCTTCTTTTTATTTACAACACAAACATTTCATGTCTGGTCTATTTTACTGGTAGATTATTAGATTATAACGTATTGTACTTGGTACTTGGAAAGATTATAAGATTTCAGCCATTAGCCTACAGACATAAATAATTTAGCAGAATCTCAGTTGCAAAGAATGCATAACACCGCTGTTATATTTAGACCAATCAGCTGACAGCCACAAATCAGCTGATTCTTTGCAACCTCGAATAAGGCCGAGAACATCGACCGTCTGACGTCTCGACGTCATTCCTGGCAGAGAGGGGAAAATAACAAAACAAAGCTATTGTCCTTACATAATGTGTAAATATTAAGTATTTGTCCTGATTTGTTTCCTATTTACCCTTGGTACATGTTTTTAAAGGTTATAATGACAATAAAATGCAACCAAAACGATTTAACAGAAAAAGAACCAAAATTTACTCCCTTACTCTATTTTCTCCTTTCACTGCGTACTTGCTGGCAGCTCGCCAAGGCAAGCCGAACATTTGTTTATTTTAGCTTTCCCGCGTCTTGCCAACGGAACTACTTTTTATCATTGATTCCGCAAGTATCCGCGATGTAAAATAAACCAGCATGTTTTAGCCATTTATTTTGTAACGGAGCCCCAAAAGTGTTTCACTTAACTTTTTTGAGTAGTAAATATTAATATAGAAAATGTTTGGTACCATTGTAATCCTTAACTTTCCCCTAATTTCGTTTTTGTACTGTCATGGGTTACTAGTTGCTGATGTGAATTGACCAACAGCTGTTTCCCGCCAATTATTACTCATTCTACCCCAGCTTACGTCGGGAGTTGTACACGTCGGTCTTCGCAATCGTAAACAAACTTGTTTTTCCGTAAAAACAATCGTTGAAATTTGTTGGAAGTGTATTTCATGATGTCAGTGGATATAAGGAACAGTGAAAGACGACGCTTTTCTGAATTGGAGGCAAGGGAGAAAGAAATTGCTGCAGGACTCGTCAAGTAAGTTGTAGAAAGTAGTACGCATGCATGTCAGGCATAAACATTGTAGTACGAGCGCGTGGTCATAAGTACTTATCGTCTTGTTTTGCCCATATCGCTCATGTTTGCTCAAAATTTTGTCTTCATGTAACTTGAAGTGTTTCTTATAATACATTGTCCAACAATGTACATCCCCAATTTGTCTGTCAATGCATGTTTTGTGATTTAGACCGTATCTGAAAGGAATAACTGTTCGCCGACAAACCATCAGTTGGCGTTCAGAATGACCCCGGCGTGGTTCACCGTCCCAATGTCCGCTGTTTGACACCAGACCAAAAGAGAGAGGCCTAGATCTAGATTCTAAATCTAGATCTACTCGGTGGAGCTGAAATCGGCCGTGCAATAAATAATGATCTAGATCTAGAGATCTAGATCTAGAATATAGATAGATCTAGATCTAGATTCTAGATCTAGATCTACGCATTGTTTGCTCTTCGAAATCGTTATCCTATGTCTTGCATGTTTATCTTTTCTGTTGTATGATTAACTTCTTCTCTGAACATAGAGTTGAGATCATGACAATTTGTAGATAAATCATAATTATTAATTAGGCTAGATTAGATCTAGAATCTAGATATGTCTTTCACAGATAAATATATAGAATCTAAATCTTGAGTATAGATCTAAACCTATATTAGATCTAGACTAGATCTAGATCTAGATCTAGTCTCTAGGTTCTAGATCTAGGTGATTTGTTCTCTCAAATTTGCCTGTAATTGTTGTCTTAGGAATAGATCTAGATCTAGATCTAGATCTAAATCTAGATAGAATTAATATTATCAAATTGTGACTGTGTTTTTTTCGTTCTAGATCTAGATCTAGACCTAGAATCTAAAGTCTAGATCTAGGCTATTTAAATCTGAAGACTGATGGTCAAATATTCACATTGCTCAGATATTTTTCTAAGTTTGATGTGGACAGCCCCGCCCCCACACCACAAAGTCAGCAAACTATTGAAACTTGGCTCCTGAAGTCTTTGATCTGTTAGCAACAAAACATCTAATCTAGATTTTTCTAGATCTAGATCTAGATCCGTTTGTCAAGAGTGGAAGGAATTGCAGATGTCTGTGTAGATCTAGATCTAGATCTAGATCCAAAACGGCTCACATGTCCCAACTGATTTGTGATCTAGATCTAGATTCTAGGAAAGTAGGCCCACTTCTACTTCTGAAAGTGAAACTCTATTTCAAATGATAAATGCTTGATTTTGAGCATGTTTGAGAGTTCTTTTCTTCCCATTCTCCACTAATTAAACTAGATTTAGATCTAGATCTAGAATCTAGATTTTTATTACACTCACATAGCCAACTCTGCAAATTTAGCTTTTAAGTTGTGACAGGGGTGTTACGTTGTACAAAAATATCCCCCAAAGTATCATCAGTGTGACTATACATAGATCTAGATCTAGACTAGTCTACCGTACAAGTGGTAGATCTGCTGGGTTTGTTTGTTTTTTATGGATGTGTTCAAGATCTATGGTCACGGGCGGGGTGGGGGTATCAGTTACAATGTAATTTAAAGGGGATTTTAGCATCCGTTAAAGTTTACGGTAACGACACCAGTCGGGTCTAGATTTCTAGTTCTATCCTATTTCCCGACTACAGACTAGATATCTAGATCTAAACCTAGATTAGATCTAGATCTACATATATATTTAGATACAAATACAAGTGTAGTAGTCTTTATTGTATCAACTTTGTTTAGGACAGTCACTCGACTCAGAAAATAATTAAGTTTGAAGTCGATTACGGTGTTTTATAGTTCATTTGGGGACGGGATGGGGTAAAAGGGTGAGGGGAGGTTAGCGTCTTGAGTCTACATGGTGTGCAGATGGTCCTAATTGAAATTGCCAGCAGCTTGGGAGGGGGGGGGGTCTGTTGGCAAAGCATACGCTTTTATTTATGTATTTTTAATCATGTGAGATAGTTGGTCTTAAGGTGTAAAGGAATTAGAAAAATAATATATGCCCCCCCCCCAAGTAATTGTTCTAAGCTGGTGTAGATTTAAGGCCTAATATGCTCAGTTGCGTCAATGTCGTAGTACCCACAGCTGATCAGAGCGGAACGCCGTCTCTCCCTCTCTCGTAGCGCGACCGCGTCACTCCTACGAAAGCGTAGTGTTCCTCCGCCTCACCCCGCTCCGCCATTGATGGCCACATGCCAGCGTTGTGGCCCGAGCTTGTGGGTTTGGCACGCAGCCAAAGCTCTCCAACCTCGACTCGAACAGGCCTCTTCACTTCGCAAAAGGTCAAACACGGTTGAGCGCCATTCGATCGACCGGCATTGCTTTCCCCCCTCCCCCCCTCCTCCACACTAACGTCGGGTCTCCCTGCTCTTTCCCTTCCACCACCCGCCCCCAATTCATTCCCTTGTCTGTCGGAATTTCGCCTTCGGTCTCGGCGTCTCGAGGTTGTGCGTGTACGCGTCTGGCTTGCCGCCGGGAGGCGAACTTCATTTTCCTCGGCCAGGCGCTCCGCTTCCAAACATTATCCAGCAGTTGTATTTTTTTCCTTACACACTGGCTCCCTTACGTCCCACTGTTTTGGGGTGGGTGTGTTTTTTTTGTTGGAGGATAAAATCTAATATTTTGTTTATAAATGCATGGTCCGCTCTGATAATTCTACCCGTTTTAATGTATGAAAATAAATCACGTCGCTGATTGCGTTACGGTACCATTTTTTAAACTTGTTATTCTACAAGAGTAGGCCTATCCTTGTTTTGTATGACATTGAATCATTGAAAACGTTTAATAAAATACAATTTCTAAATCAGGAAACTAGATCTACTTCGGTTATTGACGTGGGGTCATTTCGTTGGCTGACCCACCCTACACAGAGATCCGACACAGCCCACCAATGTATTCCTTTTACCTTACCTACTGAGGTAACAAACAAAAAATGTACTAGAAGCTAGCCCTGGATAGAGAAAGGTGGAAAGTGTTTATCCGTGGCCTTTCCCCAGGTGCAGGGTGAGGAAGGCGAGTGAAAAAAATACTTCTCTTTCCCCCTTTCCCCCCTCCCCCGCGAACTGGAAGCACGCTGCAACTTTTTTCTTCTCTTACTCTTGCGTATAAGCTACACACTAGTGATTCGTTGTGTTAAGCACTATACAATTACCAGTGTTAGTAATCTCTACTGTAATCCAGTATACATAACATAATCATGTTCTTTCATTCTCCTGCTGTTGTCAACATGTTTTAGACTACCGTAGAGTTGTTATTATGTAACTTTTTTGTATAGGACAAATGCTTTCTATTAAGGCATTACTAATCATGTTTGATATTCTGAATTGAATTTCAGAATTTCAACAGGCCTGAAAAGATTAGATCAGGTTAGTTGTCATTCACTGGCCTGTTTAAGCGGTCAAGATTTTCTAAGACTAATGATAATTCTAAAGTTTAATTATTTAATGAATTTACTCTTTTTGATAATATTAATTTTTACTTTTTCTTTGCGAACTTTTGCTCACAGCAGAGTATCCCCGCCTGTGTCACCAAAGGCTCAACAGGAAAATGAAAAAAGAATGAGGAGGGAAATAGCCAACAGTAATGAGCGAAGACGCATGCAATGCATCAATGCTGGATTCTCTTCCTTGAGGGCACTCATTCCTCAGTTGGAGGGAGAAAAATTGAGCAAGGTCAGTACTGCACAGATGTTTTTGACTCTTGATGTGTGTTTATGTTTGTGCTTGTCATGTCATGTGGAGGCGTAGTGTTCAGGTTCATAACTGTCGTGGACAAGTGAGTCTTGGTTTATTTGAATGTTCTGTCTTTTGTTCTCTTTTTTGCGCCTGGATGGAGTGGTGGTGGGGGGGAAGCAGGTTTTAGGAAGGTACCTTCTCCTGCTTATGTTCAGGTTTAGTATTGATGACCTCTTTAAAAGCAACATGATATCCTTAACTTTGATTTTGTGCCTTACCATTGTACTGTCAATTTCTCCCTTATTTGGAACATATTTCTTTTGTTGTTAAAAGGCCTTTCTGTTCCTTTATTCAGACCGTGCCTGTGTCATCAAATGTTTTGTTGTTTGTGACATGAAAACGGTTCGCCTTTCATTTTCTGATTGATGAACGCTTGTGGTGGAAAGGCACCACGGATGGGTCCTCCTTTTCTTAACCTCTGCTGCTTCTGTCCTATTTTTCCCCTTCACTAAAGATTGTGCATCTCGTCATTCAAACAAAACAAACAAATAATCATTAAGAGAAATGAAATACTATAATCTAGGGACATAAAACTTCTTTTTTCTAGTCAGGGTGACATTCCAGGGACATGTTATGGTATTTGGGGACGCACACACCTCTTGGGAAAAAGGATTGGCCCGCTGTACTCAGGAATGTAGGACAGCACTTACTGCTGCAATTGCGAGGGGGGGGGTGTTGGACAGAGACAGCGTGTGGCCCTCTCCACGCCACGGATTAGCAGGACGAGCAACGAGGACGTGGCCATTAGCAGCAGCAGAGAAAGTAAAAGAAAAGGCCGGTCCTGACCTAGTTTGAGTTTGATGTCGTCACAGCAGTCCACTTCGAATCTTATAGTACGGGCGTTTTGGGTTTGTTTTTAAAGCTAAATAAACTGCAGATGCACATTCCTGGAACGTGTCATTTTTTTTATTTTTTTGGGGGGGGGGGGGTTGTACTTGTAAGTACGTGAGCATTTTTAAAATAATGTTTGTTGTTGTTGTCTTCTGAAGATTTATTAGCAGTATTTCATCAAGTAATCAGTTTATTAATTAATCCGATTTCTTTAAAGGCATATTTGTCTTCAGGCGTGTTTTCTCTTCTTTTTTTATGTTTATTTTTTTCCTTATGCATATTTGTCTTGTGGTACGGAGGGGGGAAACTGAAGTGTTATCTAGGCGTCTGTTTGAAGAAGTGCTGCACCAGTATGTGCTTGTGTTTGTTCCGCGTTGACACTCGGTGGCGTCACCCCAGCACACATGCACTGCTGCTGCTGCACACCGGTCATGTGGTCATGTGACCCGCGCGGAGGTCACGGGTTTGCTTGGGAAGTAGCGTCCTTCCCTCCCTCTCTCCCTCACCTCCCTCCAGGGGGTCCAGATTTTCGGCCGGACTAAGCACCATTGACAACCAAACACCACCCACCCCCCCCCCCCCACCCCCCCAACACCTCCGTGCGGTGTGACCGGTTATGGTGAATAAGGGGGATGCGCTGGCTTGTCATGATTATTATGGTGATGACTGCCATATGTGCTGGAATGTTATTCTGGAAGCGAAAATTTGGGAAATTGGGTTGAAAACGTGATTGAGCTTTTGAATAGTGTGGTTGCTGTGTTGAAAGAGTGCACTTAATCAGCAATTGGGTGGGTGTTCTATCTTTCTCCAGTTCCCTCCCCCCCCCCCTCTCTCTCTCTTTCTTCTCCCTTTTCTCTCTCTTTCTTCTCCCTTTTCTCTCTCTTTCTTCTCTCTCTCTCTCTCTCTCTCTCTCTCTCTCTCTCTCTCTCTCTCTCTCTCTCTCTCTCTCTCTCTCTCTCTCTCTCACGTCATGTGGTATCGCTATGAGCATCACATGTACTAATAGTTTGGACGGTCCAGCCCTCGACCCAGTTCGATTCCCCTCCCCGTGAGCGGCCGCGACTACACGAGAAAGAAGCAAAGAGGTAGCAGCAACATTCATTCCCCAGCTGTATGTTACCGTGCATGATTCAAATCAGCTGAGCCGACGAGCGTCGGTGTTGTGACTAACTGGGCCAATGGCGGTGCTGTGATCGCGGCCAGGCAAGCAAGCAAGCGGGACCGGTTTCGTCTGACTTCCCTTCCCTCCCCGTCTCTGGTTGTTGTAGTTGTGTTGTGTGCGGCGCGCCTGGCTGCTTGCTTCACTACCACGTCAGTCAGTCAACCGGCGCTGTTTTATCAATGGGTGCCTGTTGAGCCTACTCGGCTGCCCGTAGCTGGTCGTTACACATGGCCTCTCATGGGCTTTTTTTTTTTTTACATTCAGCCTGCTCGTGTGACATGACAGTTTTAGGTCAAGAATCAGTATTGAGAGCGCTAGATGAGTTCACAAAGTGGTAGAAAGGATTTGGTCTAGTCTGTACATGATCAGTGGGTGTGTGGGACTTATATGGAAGCATGTTCGTTAAGTCAATATAGTATAGAAGTGAAAGCATACTCATTGGTGCCTGAAAAGCTATGTATTAAGGATATCTAATGATCGGTTTTTTAACTTAAATATGGGGGGGGGGCGCAAACAGATGCCGGGGCTCCGAAAAATGTCTTTACCTAGCATTAGTGATTTCGTTGTTGGTGGAACTTTTGAATCTGTGCTGATTTTTTTCCTTTTCTACAACGAAGTCATTTAATTTTTATGTCACTAAATAACATTCACTCGCTCTCTCTCTATATATTTTATCTATATCCTTCGGGTACGTGTTTTTTCACCTTTTTGGAAAGGTCTGTACCCAAAGGAAAGTTCGCCCCCTATGCACATATTATGTGCACACATTGACTCAACGTATGTACCCGACCACACAACCGTCTAAAGAGTGGGTTTTTCCCCCGGGTAGATGCAGATAACAGTTAAATGTGTGCACGGGGTAGGGATCACGGCTTTTGGATAGAAGGGGCCACAGGGTCTAACAGCGAACTGCATTCAGGTCAAGAAAGGAGTGGCGGTGGAAGATTTTTTCCCCTTTCCGCTGAGAACGGCAGTTTTGTTTTTTTACCTGATTTATGAGGGACCGTTTACCTTCCGGTCCCACTCCCACCCCCACCCACCCCTTCTCTCTCTCTCTCGCTCTCTCTCTTTTTCTCTCTCTCTCTCTTTCTCTCTCTCTCTCTCTCTCTATCCATCAATTTATCCATCTATCTCTCTCTCTATCCATCAATTTATCCATCTATCTCTCACACCTCATGGGGATAGTACAATACATGTGTAACATCTCTGCAGGATGTCTCACAGACCAAATGGTTTCTTTCATTGAGAAAAAACGCCATTCACTCCTAGGGCCGCGGCGCTGCGTGGTTCAGGAATTTTACCACGTTCAGGGGATTGGCTCGTTTTTTGAATTTTCAACTGCCTTTGTACTAGTCGTCCCTTTTGTGGGTCAAGACGGTCTATGAGAGGCGTTTGAAAGTCCTTTACTTTTCTCCGGCTGAGAACTTTTCAGTAAGATCTGGAAGTGAATTAGTAGAACTTACAGGGATGGGTTATTATGTCTTCAGAGAGAAGAAGGGGGGAGGGGGGGGATAGGTTGAATGGGAGAAATTACGTACCCCTTTGAGTTTGGGATTGATGAACAGTGGTAAAGCTTAGGGTACACGACGTGTTCGTTCAAATTTGAAAAATGAATCTGCCACACCCCATTCTCTCGCTCGTCCCCTTCTTGTTAGGGGAACATTTGCTGAGCTTAAATGTTCACCGAGTTCTTGTGTTCTTCGAAAGAGGAGAGGGGGTGGAGTGTCTGGATTTATTTTTATTTTTATGTAAATGTACGTTCTGCACTCAGGGAGTGAAGTGTCTTTATCTCTGGCTCTGGTTTGCTCTGCTCCTTTTGCTTTGTCACTGTTACGACTAGCGCTTTTTGGTTTTTCTGATTTAGATGAACATATATAATAATATTGCTGTTATTCTGCTGTTTGAATGTAAAACGCAGATGGTTGAAGGATGCTACTGGCGGCCTCTGTTGCTTCTGTCTATATCTCTTTAATAACAATTCATTATTGCATAGATGTGCTTCATTTTACTCAAGTGTTTGGAGGGTGCCACTGGTCTGTCCTATATTTCTTCTTTATCCTACTTTTGTCTGTCTCACTTTAACCCCTATACCTAACCTAAGCCTAATGACCGTTATGGTGTCGACGAGAGCATCTCCTCATTCAGACAATTTTTACTCAAAACTCCCCGACAAGCGCCTGTCGTCGACGACTCCACGTGTACGGAATGAGTTTCTTTTCCTTTGCCATTGTTTTCACCTGCTCGTTCTGACAGATGCCGC